GCCCTTTGTAACTGGGTAGCCTGTGGCGTGGCGTCATCGACTTTGTCGACGCTGCCTTATCTGGTCGTCTAAAAAGTAAATAGAGAAAAGTAGGAGCGAAACAGCCGGAAGATGTTGCATTCACGACATCCACTCCCAGGACTTTACGCTGGTTACTGCCGACCTAAGATCAGATGTAAAGCCTTCGGGAGAGATTCGTGCGAATTTTTCTGGAAAATTATGGAAAACCTGGCATGTTGGCAGCGCCATTGTTGCACTTCAATTTAGGTAACCGCTTAATTGACGAAAGGTTCAGTTGTGTACAAGCTGATGTTCATTAACTCTATGAGGCTGATTGTGGGCCATGGTAAAAATGTAAAGTAGCTCACTTCCATGTGAGTCCATGAGCTCAGGGCAGAGGACATTCGCCCACTGCATCAACGAGTCGCCTTCCCTGAGTAAGCTCTCTGCCATCTAGTCGTCGTTGCCGTCGTCGTCGTCGAACAGTCCAGGTCGTGTTCACGATGAAACGCAAATGGTGACAAAGTCGAAAATAAGAAGGCGTTTGGTCTACTGGCGCTCATGTGTTGGCAATCCCGGTTAGCAACCAACTGAAAGCAGGCAGGACTCCGTGTCTGGCCGCCGCGGGAAAGGTCACTTGTTGTTTCCGGTCCAGCTACCTTACTGTCCGCAGCTTAACCTGGACTGACTCATAAGCTGCTCAGTGAACTTACGTCTTGTCCACTTAACTCCAGACTTTATACAGTTCTACGCAGGACATCTTGAATCATTCCCTTTGCGAATACAAAAGAAGTGTAGTGAGGCCGAATCAACGATGTTGTCCGTGACCATCGAAATCAGCCGCAAAAAATGTGCTTGCATTTTGTTTTTATTATTTTTATTCATGCCCGCCAGCCCAGAATGCTTGTTGGCTGATGGAATGTTTTAATGACGCCTGATCTTACTTAATGCTCGGATCATCGTGTGGGCTGATGTTAGCGCATTAGCTAGATTGACGACTGACTGGTCTTCACGTTTGCATTGTCACATTTTTTGATACCGAAATCCGGGTAAAATAAACTTTAAGCTGGTAAATTAATTTCCGACTCGGATAATACAAACATTATGCAGCTGGTGTAAATTTCAAGTCACGGCCGCTGAAGCATCGTTGACAAAATTAGGCACCGGCTTTCTTTATCGGTGTTCATCGATAGTGATCGGCAGTTTTCTTGAGCGTCTGCGGCCTCGTGGTCTAGGGAAAGATTCCAGGCTAACGTTCAGCAGCTTGGGTACGGGTCCCAGAACTAGCGCTTGTGTACGACAGGCGGAGGAACCAGTTTGAGCCGACCGGCCAGATCAGCTAGCAACTGGCCACAGGGATCGGCCTGGGGCGAGTCGGCCGCGTCGTAGCGTTGCACGCCGCGCGCATAACCATCCGCAGCTCCGTCTGGCTAAAGGCCGGAGACGTTGTTACTGATGGCCTGGAAGGCGGGAGGCTGTTGGCTGAGATCCGTTGACACAGACTTAATTAGGCCCGGTTGATTTGAGCGGCCCACAGCACACCTCCAGGCACTTATAGCTAGGATTCAGGGTGATTGAAGAGCGGATAGACTACATGGAGCATTGGTATCCGACACCCCGGCACAGCGTGTCAACAGCAAGTTCTGGTTTAGAAGTACCTGGAACCCAACACTACCGCTGGAACCATTTAAAATCAATCAGCGAAGTTCCCAGCCTGAACTTCAATGTTGCTTCATGTTGTTTCACCCCGCTGGTGAGCATCTGCCGTCCTCGGCGGGCCCCAAAAGATCCGGGAGCGCGCCTCTCCCCGCCGTCGCAACGCGTCCCGGCCCTGGTCGTGGCCGCCGCAGACGTCCGTCTGGCCGGCAGGTTCGACTTCATGGTGAACGGCGGCGGCGCGGTGAACCTGCAGTTCCAGCGGGCGCCGTTCCGGCCGATGACCCGCGTGTGGCCGCCGCCTGGAACCAGCTGGTGGTGCTCGAGCCCATCACCATGCTGCTGGACACGGAGCGGCGGCGACGGGAGCCGGCGCCGGCCGCCGCCTGCGCCCGCCACCAGCCGCACCTGCTCCGGCCGGTCATCGTCAACACGTGGCAGCCCGACCTGGCCACCGACGCCGCCGAGACTGTGGCTTGGGTGACCGAGACTCAGGTCAGTCGGACGACCCTTGGATAGTTGTCCACGTGGGCTGGCGTCAGAAGGGAGGTCGCGAGGGCTCGAGTCAGTTGGGGACGCCTTCAGCTGATAAACAAACGGCTGCATTAGTCATCAGCAAACAGCAAATCCCTGTCTGAAACGGGCCTCTCGTGTCTAGACATGAAGTATCTCATCAATATATTTATAAATCCTAGTGTCTTTCCGTAACCCCTCCCCCATATTAAAGTGTTTCGGGAAATCTCCTCTGGAGTTGTCGCAGCCCATGTTCGGTGATAGGTTTGCCAGCACCTGTGCTAGTTAGGACCCCTAGTGCAGCAGATTACCGGATATTAAGCTGGTGACATTCGATCGCCCACCCGGCGACCCTCAGTCCGCCTGCCGTGTTCACCCGGGACGGGAAGACGGGCTGGCGACCTTCCGTCTGCCTACCGTGTTCGCTCCGGGGCGGAAGGACGGGATGGCGGGCTTGCGACTCTGTCCGCCTGCTGTGGTTCCCCGGGGCGGGAGGGTGGGCCGGCAACCCTCAGTCGCCTGCCGTGTTCGCTCCGGGGCGGGTGGACGGGAGGGTGGGCCGGAGACCCTCTGTCCCCCGCCGTGTTTGCTCCGGGGCGGGTGGACGGGAGGGTGGGCCGGGACCCTCTGTCTCCCTGCCGTGTTTGCTCCGGGCGGGGTGGACGGAGGGTGGGCCGGGGACCCTCTGTCCCCTGCCGTGTTTGCTCCGGGGCGGGTGGACGGGAGGGTGGGGCCGGGGACCCTCTGTGCCCCTGCCGTGTTTGCTCCGGGGCGGGTGGACGGGAGGGTGGGCCGGGGACCCTCTGTCCCCTGCCGTGTTTGCTCCGGGGCGGGTGGACGGGAGGGTGGGCCGGGGACCCTCTGTGCCCCCGCCGTGTTTGCTCCGGGGCGGGTGGACGGGAGGGTGGGCCGGCGACCCTCTGTCCCCCGCCGTGTTTGCTCCGGGGCGGGTGGACGGGAGGGTGGGCCGGTGACCCTCTGTCCCCTGCCGTGTTTGCTCCGGGGCGAGTGGACGGGAGGGTGGGCCGGGGACCCCCTGTCCCCCTGCCGTTTTCGCCCCGGGGCGGGTGGACGGGAGGGTGGGCCGGTGACCCTCGGCCCGCCTGCCGTTTTCGCCCAGGGCCGGTGGACGGGAGGGTGGGCCGGTGACCCTCGGCCCGCCTGCCCTTTTCGCCCCGGGGCGGGTGGACGGGCAGGGCAGGCGATTCTTTGTCCGGCTGCCGCGTTCCACGCCGTAACCCCAAAGACCGGGTCACGGCCGCCAGCGTCGGCGTCGGGTCGTCCGGTGAGCTCTTGGGCGTCTCTATCGGTCTCCAGACGGCCCGTGTCGCCTCATCCGCCGGTGAAGTGGATCGGGTCACCCGTGTAGATCGAGGGGGCTTGGGGTCTCGGGCTATCTAACGACACTGCGAGGAGGTCGTAATTTTTAACGGCCTGCGGGAGCCTGGTAGGAGATAAGTGTTACCTGAACCGGCTTAAGACGTCCGGCTTTAAGAAAAAGGAAAGCAAACAAAAATATGTTTGAAAGGCACGATACCATGCACCACACTCATGCAGTGCAAGGTCAACCCACATAACATAGATGCAGTTGGCCAGGCATCGGTGGTGTCCGCTTGTCTTGACATCTTGACATTAGACATCTTGATGTTCACCTGATGTCCACTTGTCCACAAAACCACTAAACTGATCTTTCCTCCGTTGGCTGTTTGTTGTATATATATATATATATATATATATATATATATATATATATATATATATATACATGCAGATCTTGTGAATGATATACTTCTGTCGGCTGAGCCAGTCGATCAGCAGCGATGTTCAGTGCCGGATGGAAAGGTTGCACCATCAGGCTGCACTGGTCCTCAGAGTACAGCGGAAGTCGGGGCTCATGACTCACTTTCCGCTCAGGCGTCCTGTAAGTCATCGAGATAATATGGAGCACCTGCCGCAGCAGCTCTTGGCGCTTGATGACGTCGTCACATGCCCGTACATATCCGAATGAAATCACCGCGACACGGCGATCACACGCCGTCTCACGTAGTTTTGCATTGGCTGCGAGCGGCCGTCAGCCAGCTGACAGCGCGCTCCGAAGACGATGGCGTCATTTCATGGTTATGCGAGCTCACTTGAGCAAATCAGAAGCGGCGGCTCGATTTAGATAGCCGTGGGCACGTACAGATGCCGGAGTTTGTGCTGCAGCAGGTGATGAGTGCAGATTTAAGGGCGCTGCTCCAATGCAGTTGTTGCCATCAAGTAAGGACTCAGAATGTTAGCTACTGCGTCAACCGGTGCCGATTCCGTGCTCAGTTGGCATCACTTACTCACATGCTGGTGATGGTTGGATTATTTAACGACCAATTCAACTTTTTGTCTTCTAGCGTCTTCAATGTGCAACGCCGCCGGTCGCGGGCCTGGCGTTAATTGACTGCGGTCAGGCGTGAAATAATTTAAATAAACCCACCAGCTGCTGGTCCAATTCTGATGGCCTAAAGGCTGAAAAAGAACTATGAGCCGTTTTCATGTATGTTCTCTTTTGACTTGTCTATTCCCAGCGATCAAAATTTGACGTTGTGCTGAGCAGCTTGTGAACCGCGTTGCCGCCTTGCAAGATATTGCCGACGGCACTGTCCCGCTGAGATCGTCGAAGGTCTTGCGTCACATGTTCTTGATACAGAATACGAACTGACGAAATGACACCGATCTAAGTCGGTATAGAAAGTTGGGATCGAGCAACGCTTGCGGTTTGGGAATGATAATGTTACAAATGAAGCAGAGCAGAGCGCGAGGATACTAACCGGTAATTAAATTAAAAATACTGCGGTCATTACAGGACACTTCACTACACGACAATCGCTTATGGCTTTGTCAATGCGCTTTGTTCCGTAGATAGAAGAATATTCAGGCTTAAACCCTCATGATTTCGCTGTACATCACTGGGTCTCACTGGGTCATGCCGTACATCACTTGGGTCTCATAAGGTTGAAATACACGCAGTGATTTAGTATGGTGTGGAGTCCGTTATCAGAGTACTGCTTCCGATTCATTTGATTCAATATTTTGACTCGTATTCATGTTAAATCCAATCAAAAAATCGTCACTCTCCGCCAATATGTTCTTCAATCTAGCAAGCTAACCCAAGCCATGCAGGAGGCTCATTTTCCATCCAGATCACCGCTGTATTCCTATTATGGGAGCTGGCACCAACGACATTTTTTGTTTTCCGCACTGAGAGTCGCGCCAGCCCATCTTGTACGAGCGGAGCTGGCGGCGAATACCCCTATCCGGCCATCCCTGACTGTAATTATAGCTACAGTCCCTTGTTTGCTCGGGTGGATATTTGCTGACTGCAGCCACGGCGACTAATTCGGCGCAATTTGCGCGACCACAACAGGAAATTGGTTTAATTCTGCCTTCTAGAGAAACAAGATGGCTGGGAGTCAAAACCCGGCGGTGACGGTGCCCTGTGACGTTCCCGGATATGACGGATGCTTGCCTGACTCCTTCCGATGAAAACGCTCTCTTTCGTACTCTTATCTCGAAAATGAAGGGCTCATGGTCATAGTAAAATAATGCTACCACGTGTTGTATGTATTCGGACAAATTAGGTGCGCCGATGAATGACCTTTTTTGACGGTAAAGCGCCTTTCAAATCAACCAGAGCGATTTGGATGCCGACGCGTTATTCAGCGCCGAGGTCCTTCCAGCAACATAACCATGGACATGAACAACACTCTACAGCATACCAGAGCTCTGCAATCACGGCTCCGCATTAGTGATTGCGTCGGGAGCGGCGTGTCCCAGTTGCCGAAAAAGTAGGAATTTTCTGGGAGTAAAACCTTCTCTAACTGCTTATTGATATGACGCTGTTGCGTCCTTCAGTCCCACGATGCATAATTATTTATTGCGTACCTTTTAGAACCGCCAGATGATAGAACCTTGATGAGATCTTGTGCCACTTTGGTGCTGGACGGCCTTGGATCGGTACCTTAGTTTTAATTGTTAGAACGTAACCCTGCCCGTAATAACGATACGTCTCCGTTTTGGAGTAAAACTCGAAAACGGAGCTTTGGGGCGCGTTGACGGCAGCTGTCCACACAGCCAACACGGTGCCGTGTCCTGTCGGGTGTCTTACGCGTACAGTGTCTCCGTACAGTGTCTCCGTGTCTCAGTGTCTTACGTGTCTCCCCACAGGTACTGCAGGAGTCGATCGAAATTCCCGGCACTGGCCTCCGCCTCGTGTACAACTCGCAGGACGCCTCGGGCTACCACTCGACGCTGTTGCTCCGGCTGACCTCCGACCCGGTGCCTGAAACGCTGATCTTGGTCCACCTCAAGGTCATCGTCGAGGGCACGGTCTTCACGAAGACGTTTGAGTCCGACCCCAACATTACCTACAGCTACTCCTGGAACAAGCGGAACGTCTACGAGCAAAAGGTTACTTCCGGGTTCACTGAACATTTCAAAGCCCAAAGGAACGAGATCGTAGTGTCTTAATCACAGCAAGCTGCCCAAGAAGCGCACTCTTTCTCCCTTTCGGAACCTCTGTCCTAGCCTGATACACTGCTCCACCGCTGCAGGTGGGTTTATCCACACCCGGCCGAGCATGTTTTTCGGCGCCAATCCCATCCCCACTGCTGGCGCCGGGCGGGGCGTCTGGTGGCGCGCCACACGCGTCATCGGAGCCGCCCGCACGCCCCTTTGAAGAGCCCGTCATCCCGCGCCGCGTCGTTAGCCGTTTTTCAGCGGCGACAGGCCGGCCAGGCGCGGAGTAATCATTAGCACCTGGCCGCGGCGGCGGAGAGGGTCGTTAGCGGCGGCGGCGCGCTGGCCGCCTCCGACGTTTGCTCGAGTCACGCATCGGCGGCCGCGTGCCGCGGCCGACAACGGACGGGCGCGCCCGGCCGAGCGCGTGATGTCAGGAGTCGTCACGACCAGGTCTTAGGTCGCTCGCGTGGCGGTGGTGCTGTTTCCGGACCCACGTCTCCTGGCAACGGCTGGTGCTGGTCGCGGTCGTTGAGCAGGCCCCTTGACGGGGCCTCAGCGGCGACCGCGCGACACAGCCTTCTCGGCCAGGCACCGGCCCGAATGTCCCTCGCCTCGTCGCCAGTTCCCTCCGTCGGCCCGCGGCACTCACCGCCGTGTGGGCCAGCTGTGATCTCGCAATCTCAGTCGGCCACGCACTCGGCACGAGTCTGAAGGGGGCTCCGTCTCGCCGTGGCCGGCGCCGGTGCTGACCGCAGCTGTGAGTCAGCACCGGCGCCGGCTGCGGCGCGCCAGCGCTGCCAGCCGCCTCGCCCCACCCGCCACACCGGCTCCCGGCCGCCCGCGGCCATCGCCGGCTGTTTGTGTGCGGTTCGCCGCCCGTCTCAATCACCACCTCCGATCCTCACACAGCCGGGGGCGGCTGGATTTCCCGGGCCCGACGCGCCGTCGGAGGACCGCCGCCGACTCGCCGCTGCCGCGTCGCGCTCGACGCGCGCCGGCCCGACGCTCCGCTGATGGAGTGGTGGGTGGCCCGAGCTGCCAGGTGCCACGATTCAGTCGGCAGCCGCCCGGGTCTGTCCCACGGCGGCGACTTTTGTCCCGCAGCCGGGTCTCCCGCTGAGACGACGGCTGCCTGCTGCGCCCCCGCCGCCGCCGCGCTATGATTAATCTTATGTAGATTCGCTGGAACGGAAAATTAAATAGCTGCCTCTGAGTGCGGGTCAGAATATTGGATATCGTCGAATGTCTGAATCCCACTTGCCAAGGCACAGTCGGACAGTTGGGCAGCGGTCCCCAGGCGGGTGTGACGGACGGCGGTGTTGGGGGATGTCTTCTGCAGGCATGCTGCTCCGCAACAAAAAAAGAAACAGGGGAGAGAAGTCCTGACAAGAAGAATTTCTTTTGATCCAATTCAGGATAGGCGACCAGCGCCAACTGCCTTCGAGAAACGGATGCTTTAGGCACATCGTCCCCTGCCTAAAATTCGTCCCAAGGAGTGGTCTCGTTGCTATGGATGTTGTCTCAAACAGAATGTAACTTAACCTGCCAGAAACACAGTCATGCAATTTGTATGCGTTCTGACACCACTCCGCATGCTTTCAGTAGTTCTCAAAGTATGCTTGCAATCCAGAGACTCGTAAGTTTGAACGATGTCTAGAAGGCGCTCTTGTGAAACTCACTGGTGTTTACCAAATTCGTCATGCAGAGGTGTCGGTAACAGGCGTGCAGTTTGGCCCGGCACCTTTCGTCGCGGACCATACGGCCGCTGGCAGCCCAGACGTGCGCGATAAGGCGGCTTTGTGAGCTGCCGTCCGCCACCATCGATCACTCGGCCCGACACAACTGAGTCTTTCACGGGGCTGACAGCCGACAGACGGCCGAGGCCCCGTTCGTGACTCGGGACGCTTGCATGTTCGGCTAGTTCCAGCCAGCTCCGGGCCGGTCCCGTGTAGTTGTGACGTCTGGGCATAGCTGGATGAAAATTTAAATTGTAATCGGCAGCGGCTTTGCAACTTGGTCTTCCTGGACGGGCTGAGTCAGCGGTCCAGTTTTACCTGTGTGTGCATGCTTGCTGCTGCGCTTTTGTTCTCACCTCGATGTACGAATAACAGTCACGAGCCACCTAACGGTCTCAATCATGCGCGCCAGTTTGTGGTACAGGCTAGCACGCAGTCGACGTTATTAACACTCCGTTGACAATATTTGGTGTCGCAATGTCCTGGTCTAAGCTCAAACATGTGGTCTGGAGGATAGAAAGCACTACGTCGGCGATGTACCGTTGAGCTGTCCTGCCCGGTGTGCGCCGCGCACCGACTGGTTTTGTTCCCTCGAGCGTAACACAGGTGCACACAAGCCCGTCGGGTCACGTCGGGCGTCGCTGGAGCGCTTCCTGACCATCTCTTTTCAGCGGCCGGCAAAGGGGGATTGAAGACGGTCCGAACCGTTCTACCGGCAGGTTTCATCGCCTCACTCTCTCCCATTGGGCGTGTCGGAACTGGGCAATGTACAAATTTCACCACAAGCGTCACGCCTGCACCGGGACCGTGTCTGGCGCTCATGGCCATGCTCATCACATTCCTGCGTCCTTGGGGCGTGCACCTACGGATGTGGCGCCGTTCGCCACTCACCGCAGCATTTTCATGCCCGCCGTGCATGAACCGAGGCCACAAAGTGAACCGACACAGGTGTTCCCTTTCTATTAGACCTAAACGTATCTCATCCTGACCCTTGCGGACCCGTTCGTGACGCGCCGTGACTGTTCTGTGACGCTCCGGTCTCGACGCCAGGTGTACGGGATGGTGCAGGCGCACGTGTCGGTGGGGTACCAGTACGTCGACTGCGCCGGCGTCATCTGGGACAGCCGCATGCTGCCCATTCCCGGATTCAGGATGGACATCTCTGACATCGGCGGATGGAATCTGGACATCCACCACATGTACAACTTCCACGAAGGTGGGCTCTCCGAACGACTGGCGTGTTTGACGATGCGTGTGTTGTTGTCAGCAGTGGAGCCCGTCTCACAGTGTACTGTGTCGGTGGAGTGCACGTCTGCCATTTAGGACGTGCATTCTGCTCAAACAGCGCCTCCGCTTTGTGTTTTGAAACCGTGCACTTTATTTCGGTTTATGATGCGTGCCCGCGTATATGTCACGCAATCAACATCACAGGTGGGAATTAAGCCTCTGTAATTTCACTGGAATCTCGAAACCTAATTTGACTGGAAAACCGGAACGGCCGGAATATCGACCGCCGAGAGCGCAGCCAGGTCCGGCCGTGACCTCTCCTGACCCCCTCCCCCCCCCTCTGACCACCGCGCCCGCTGCCTGCCCGGCAGGCATTCTCCAGCGCGGCGACGGCACGTCGGTGCACTTTAAGCGGCACCCGCGCCTGGTGGAGACGCTGCTGGGCACGGGACAGCAGCGCCCGCTGCGCTGTCCGCCGGCCAGCTGCTCGGGCGCGGCCAACAGCTCGCGCCTGCTGACGCCCGTGGCGCTGGCCACCGGTGCCGACGGCTCCGTCTACGTGGGGGACTTCAACCTGATCCGGCGCGTGACGCCCGCCGGCGGCGTGTTCACCGTGGCCGAGCTCAAGTAAGTGACGCCGCTGGAGCGCACGCGCGGGATAAGAGTGGAGGGAGGACTGAGAGCTGAAGATTGATGACTGGCAACTGGAGACTGAGGTGCGAACGGTGAGGGAAGATGACCGAGGAGTGAGGACAAAGGACTAGGTAATAGGAAGTGAGCTGAGGACGGATGGCTGATGCTGAGGGCTGAGATCTGAGAGCAACTGATGGCTGCTGCCCGGTTGACAGCCGACGACTGACAACTGACGACTGACGAATGAGGATTAGGGACTGAAAGCTGAAGGCTGAAAGCTGAAGGCTGGGGACTGAGGAGTGAGGGCTGATGAGGATTGATGAAGACTGATGAGGAGTGGTAACTGAGGACTATGGACTGCGGCTAGGGACACAGGAACGGAGGGCTGAGGGCTGAGATTAAAGGGCGATGCTAATGGACTGAGGTCTGAGAGACTTGGTTATGAATGGCTGAGCTCTAAGGAATGAGTTCGTAAAAAGTTCTTGACATGTGGTATGACTGATTGGGCTGACGGACTGGGGCTGAGTGACTGATAGTGAGGCGTTTTGTGTTGAGGCTGAAGAGTTGAGTGACGAGAGATTGGATATGAAGGCCTGAAGGACTGAGGCTAGGGCCAGTCGGACGATAGCTGTATGCGCTTATGATCAAAAAAGATGTATGGTTTGTAACAGGCAAGGTGTTTTATATGCGATAATGACGCTTCTTACCTTCAGCGATGCGTGTAATCTTCATATAAGATCAAATGTCACGTATAGTTTTATATTCAGGGACATTGTACCTGATATGTATCTTGCTTTGCATTCCAAGAGCTGATTCACTCGTCCATGGTAGCCCAGCAGACTGTGACACTGCACCAGGTGTCCCGACCTCCACATGAAGACGTGCTGCTGCTCGGTTGTACTCGTTGAGGACAGACTCTACACAAAGCTGAACCCCGCACGGGACAATGCCGCGCAGGTCGGCGTCCGCCGCTCCAATCCATGTGTCAGGTGGATGGCGTCTCTAAAACCCTCCAGTATAGCAGTGGTATCTCTCCGCCGCAGCAGGAAACGAAACTTGCACGGCCGTGGCGTTCGGCAGCGCGGCGTGCGTCTCTAAAACCCTCCAGTATGCCAGTGGTATCTCTCCGGCGTGGCAGGGAGGGAGCCTTGCACGGCCGTGGCGTTCGGCAGCGCGGCGTGCGTCTCTAAAACCATCCAGCATGCCAGTGGTATCTCTCCGCCGCGGCGGGAGGCCAGCCTTGCACGGTCGTGGCGTTCGGCAGCGCGGCGCGTGTCCGATTAGCTTCGTGTTTACCGTGGCGCGGCGCGCCAGCTCTCGAGATGAGCGGCAGCGTTTACGTTCGGCCAGCGCTGGTAAGCAGCGCGAACAGGAAATTCGCCATGTTTATTTGCCAAACTGCTTTCAGCCGTCGTTAGCGGGCGACGAGGCGTGAAGTTCTCTGGCTCGCTGAAGAGCGCCTCCGTCAGCGAGCAGATAGCTTGTTTCCGGAACGAAAGACGCGTAAACAAGTTTTCTTTGTGTGGTTTTGAGATACCGAGGCGCCTAGCCGCTGAATAAACAGAACGTCAAGGAATTAATTTCCGTTGAGCTCGTACATGCAGTGCGAGCTGCGCATTGTGCGAAGCGATATGCCCCCGCCCCTTTACGCTACACGATTGCTTCCCATCGTTATAGCGTATCGCCTCTTCGCTGAGCCTGAGTGGGGCACGTGAAAGGACCGGTCACCAGCGGCGCGTTCGCCGCCTGCTCCCCACAGGGCCACCCAGGTCAGCTACAACTACTACATGGCCATGTCGCCGGTGGAACAGCTGCTGTACATTAGCGACCCTGAGGCCCACCAGGTGTTCCGCGTCATCCAGATGGACCAGGTGAGGTGGTCGTCCGAACTGCGGAGGTTCAGGTTACGCGTTGAGAAAGAGCCATCGCCAGACATGAAAAGGAACTGTTGTGATGGACGTTAAGGTGGCGATTGGATTACAGGCGCTGTGAAATGAAGCAACCTGGCAAGCTGCGACATGCTTATTTGACATATTTGTGCATTACCATATTCCATATTCTTTGAAACCCACTTGTTCAAAAATGTGTGTTTACCCGAACATTTTTCGGACTGGTCTGTCTCTTTACTATTTAAAAAACAGTATTAATAGCCTTATTCCTCAAGAATAACCAGGATAATGGACAGATAGTCCATTTTGTTTATCCACTCCTATCTGACCATTCTCGTGGCTATTCCACGAGGAATAGGGCTATTAGTACTGTCTGATCTATGTGCATGATTTTCCTCGCAAATACACGTAACAACTTACGTCGTCTTCACTATCTTCACGCATTTGTTGCTCCCTTAAGTACCTTCTTTTTATCTTTGAAATATGTGTACTGTACACGTTGCAAAATTGCGAGTCATTTCACCGCGCCAACATATTTCCCGTAGCGCTCCACTCCATCCGTCAATTTACCTCCCCAGGCGGCACCGGGACCATAACGGGTCTCTGACTGCTGGTTTTTTGCCGCCGCAGGTCAGTGACCCGTCTAAGAACCTGGAGCGAGTGGCGGGCACGGGCGAGCGGTGCCTGCCAGGGGACGACGCGGCCTGCGGGGACGGCAAACTGGCGCTCGACGCCAAGCTGTCCCATCCGAAAGGTGCGTGCCGGCCGCGGCCAGTAACCCCTGTGGGTCACCGCCGACTGACCCGTGGCGCCGCCGGCGGCGTGGGCGCGGGCTGTTTTTCATCGAGGACACAGCGGGCCGGTATCAGGCCATCTTGCGGTGCATCGCATTAGGATGCCTGCCATTTCCGGCGATTGGATCGGCTTCATCGGTGACAGAAACATACGACCTGTCGTGTCACTGTAATTGGGTGCGGGGAATGGCGCGCCGTTGTGATATGTATTCACGCGCCATTGTCGTCGCCGGACGTACCTGCGACGGGTGATAGCTGCGCTGTGCCCACCCCACCTGCGCTCGAGATGTATGACATCACCCGGGTGACGTCGCATGCTTCATGCAACGTCCACATGTCTAACATAACGCCTATGCTGTCTCACGTGACTTCACCCACCTCACATGATGCGACCGGCCCATATGACGTGACCGCCTCGTATGATGTCATCTGTCTCACGTGACGACACCTGCGCGCCAGGCCTTGCCATATCGGCCGACATGGTGGTCTATCTGGCGGACGGAACCAACATTCGCGTCATCGGCGCTGACGGCATCATATCGACCCTGATTGGCCACCACGGACACAAGGCCGTCTGGAGACCTATCCCATGCTCGGGCGCGCTGCCCCTGCCCGAGGTGAGACCACTGGCCCATTCAGCCCCAGCTCCTGACCGTGATGCCCATAAAATTGCAGTCTTGTTTGAAAGGGTTCTCATCGCAGTGGGAGTCGAGGGGAACTAACAACATCGTCTGGTGTGCTTCACATGGTGCGAATAAGAGCTCTATCTGACATGGTCAGAGCGCCATCGGTGGCGGCCGTGTTTGACTCTTGACTCCTGACTCCTGACCCCAGACTCCAGTCTGGTCCAGGCTCCAGCACTGAGCCTCGTCCGGCGCTGTGACCGCCTCGCCTGACCCGACCCGGCCGTGTCGCCAGACGCAGCCGCAGTGGCCGACGGCCGTGGCGCTCAGTCCGGTGGACGGCTCGCTGCACTTCCTAGATGACCGGCTCGTGCTGCGCCTCACGCCCGACCGGAAGGTGGAGGTGCGCGCCGGCCGGCCGCCGCACTGCCCGCGCGACCCGGCTGCCGCCAGCGCCGCCTCGCCACTGGCCCCGCTCGGCACCCTGGTCGACCTCACGTTCGACGCGGACGGCGCGCTCTACCTGGCCGAGGTGGACGCGGGCAAGGTGCACTACGTGCGCCGGCTGGACGGCGACGGCCGGCTGACGCTGGTGGCCGGCGCGCTGCCCGCCTGCCACTGCCAGAAGGACCAGTGCGCCTGCGAGCCGGCTGTCGGCCCGGGCGCCGCTGGCGAGCTCGCCACGCGCACGCACCTGGTGAGCGTGTCGGCGCTGGCGGCCGGGCCTGACGGAAGCCTGCACGTGGCCGATCAGGGCACGCTCAAGATCCTCCGGCTGCGACACAACCTGCCGCACGAGGGGCCCGAGTTCAAGGTGATCGACCCTGTGCAGAACAAGGTGTACGGCTTCAACCGGTTCGGTCAGCACGTGGAGACCAAGGACCTGCTGACCGGCCGGTCGATATACCTGTTCCAGTACAGCAAGAACACCAGCTTCGGCCGGCTCAGCAAGATCACTGATTGGTCAGGCAACAGCGTACAGCTGGTCCGCGACTACAGCAGTGTCGTCAGCTCCATCGAGAACTCGCAGGTGGGCGTTCGTGATGTTAAAACGGTCCTCAGTTATCGCGTCGTGGGCTTTGCAGGGCGTGTTTGAAATGTGTCCCGCGCGCGGTGTAGAACACGTCAGGTGGAAGTTCAAGAGAATGTTGGAGAGCTTGTGCGGCTTGAATGAAACTCGTCACGATGGCGAGTGAAGTCCTGTGCGCGCGCATGGAACGCGTGGAACGCATGGAACACTGTCCTACTCTGTTCGAGTTTCTTTTGTGAAATAAGTTATACGAAGGCAGTGGCTTGCCCTTTTATGAGCCACCGTACCATTCTACGGGGGTGTAGGTCCGTTTTCAACTGGAGGGGCTCCCTCAACGTGAACTCCTCTCCCCAATTATGAGGTGAAAAGGGGAAAATCCGGGAAGGAATTAATTCGCTGCTGCACTTTTTAAAATATTTAATCAGAACCCTTTGAATGGAAGGATTTCTGGGATCAGAACTCACCCTAAGCAGTGCTTGCTGTGTGAGTCCTGACGCCTACCACCCGATCGCGCGAACTTTGTGGTAGGTTACACCAGATTTCGTTGCTCATCTCGCTCAAACCATTTTTCGAAACTATGCCCCTGTTTTCATCGCACAAAGGGCCTCATTTGGCACTCTGCGCAGTATTTGCCCGTGAATGTTGTGCGACACCTTGTGACGGCGTTCGTCTTCCGTACAGGGTGAGCGCTGCACCCTACATCACATGACCCGGGACGGCCTGGTCACAAACTTCACCACGTCCGGCAACAAGTACCACTTCCAGTACGACCCTGAGACGGAGCTGCTGCGCTGTCGGAGCGACTCACGCGGCGACGTCTTCCTCTACGACTACGACAGCACGGGCCGCCTGCAGCAGGCGCTGACGTCCACCGGCGAGCGACTGAGGCTGAGCTCGCGGCTGGTGCCGCCGCGTTTCCTCCAGGTGACGGTCGCCAGGGACGACCAGGCGCCGTTCGTGCTCGACATCGACAGTACGCAGGAGTCGACCTCGTTCACCTACGGTGAGCACCGGGACGGGCTGTTCGTTGGCTCTACGTTAGCGTGTGGGCAGTGCCAGGAGGAGGTGGTGTCTGGGAGCCGATGCTGCCATGTGTGACGGTTACGAATGAAGTGTACTGGTTGGTGAAGGTGTGGTCTGGTGCAGGGGCGCAGTCAGGGTTTTCTTGAGAGGGTGAGTTGGAGTTCGGTGAGCACCCGCGCCGATTCAAAATTGTCATTCGGGAGCCATTTATGGTGAAACGCGAAAAAAATCGGTCTAAGACGGAGGGCGCCACCTTGCCCCTTCCGTAAGTGTGTGCCTCTGGTGCGCACATCATTTTTCTGCGTTATGAAATGCAATGTTTCAGGTTAAATAGGCTCTCAACATCAGTCAACGGTATGTCACCTAACCCTTTGTCTTCTGCGTTTCAGAGGACACGTCCACGGTGGTCCAGACGTTGGCCAATAACACGATCGTGCTCTCGGAGCCTCATGATACAGATACATATGTGACTTTCACAAAAATACAGCAGATGTCGCTGCTGTATTCGCCTCCTGTTCAGGTACGCAACCATCGTCAACAGCACTGGTATTTTTGCGCACAGTTCCGCTTCATTTGTTCAACTAAATCCGAAACGTTAAGTCCATATACCGCACCATTCCCTTCACTGTGTCAACCTTGCAATCCCTGTAAATGAAATTAATTCAGTAAAATATGACAATGGTAGCATGATATTCCATTTGTCTTGATATTGCAGGGCCTTTCGCATATCTGGTGGCTTTTAACGGCTCGGCGTTGCGCTGGTGCGTCTGACCGTATGGGCGCTGTTCCGCAGGTTCTGGACGCGGCCGTCTCGCAGCGCCGTGTGGTGAGAGCGGACCTGAACCACGAGCAGCTGGAGAACGAGCTGGCGCTGACCATGGCGCCGCTGCAGGGCAACCAGATGCACGGCTTCCTGGTGGCCAGGACCCTGCAGGTGAGGGATGGGCGGCTGCCAGCGGGCTGGCTTCCGTGAAACACAAACGACCGGGTAGCCACGCATACAATGGCACCGTTGTACTTCACGATGCTACAAGCTATTTTAGGCCATGCCTCACTGCTGGACCCAATGTCCCTCTGGCCTTCTGCATGTGAGTGTGATCACATTAATCTTCACACGACGGCTTTAGATGTCACCGGCCATTTTTTTATATTCTTGTGGGAGTAACGACACTACCGACAAGAGCAGCGGTCCGATTAATGACTTCATGTCGTACAAGATGCTGGATAACGTCTGCAGCTTATGTTTAGACGATCTTTGCCACCACAAGAGCGCCCCATAAACCATTTTTGACACAGCACAGTTCGGCACCCTTGTAATTTTTTTCATACGAAGCTGTGTGCCTGTTGCTTCATCAGTGCAACCCCTCTCCTACGTGACTATCCGTCCCTCTGATCCTCTTCCTTGCTTGATCCTGCATCATCGCGACACCCCGTTTGTCCGGGGCGGGTTACATGCGTCAGCCACGAGTGGGCCAAGAGCCCTGTGGGAAGGGGACCCAGACCGGGTACCCGCGCATGTGCGGGTTAAAGCTCGGCGGTTAACCCTCAGGCGCATGAAAGTCTACCCCACCGTTAACCATTTCCCTTCATCCCATTGTCCTGAAATGATCACTTCTGGTCGAAAAGTCTCTAATCCAGACAAACAAACAGCCGAACAACCAAACCTGCGTGACTCGACCCCGGTGTTCTGCATGTGCCCACTTACCAGTCGCGCACGCCACGCCACCGAATCACGCGGGCGCCCCCACCGCTTCAGAGTAACGGCTCGGAGGTGGTGTCTCTCGACTACGACCCGGTGACGCTGCGGCAGACAGTGTACACGGCGGCGGCGCCTGGCGCGGCCGGCGCCCGTCAGGTCACGCTCAGCGTCAAGTACCGCGAGTCGGTGGAGCCCGACACCTGGTCGCCGGCCGGCCTGCCGCCCATGGTGGTCAGCTACGACAGGTACGTTCGCGGCGGTTATTGCAGGCGTGGAGGACGCGGTAGTGGCCGGCCGCTCGGCTGGTGCGACAGCTGTCGGCTCACAACTGTCGGCTGTTGGTTTGTCTGGTGGTCACGTTGGCAAGTGATCGCTGATTTTTGTGGCGCGACTACTCGTGGTGCACATGCGGTCGTGGTTGATGCAGATGCGCTTGTGACGGCCTCTCGGAACGCATGACATGCCAGTCCCGCTAAGTTAGCATTTAACCAGACTGAGCGATTCTATTACCAATGCACGGCTGAAGCACGAACACCGAGCACACGTTTCGGCGCCGTTGCTGTACCATCATCGTTTCCAGTATCGGCCGCCTGGGGCGCTGGCGTTGGGGTGAGCTGACGCAGGAGTTCAGCTACAGCAGCAGCCGGAGCGGACTGGCGCGGCGCCAGGCGGGCGCCAGTAGCGACACCTTCACCTACGACCCCAACAACCAGCCTGCCACCTTCACGCTGCCGAGTCGGCGCCAGTACGAGTACCACTACGACAGCCGCGGTGGCCTGCAGTTCATCATCACGCCCAGTCGCTCTCGCCACTTTCTGCACGTGCAGCCGTCGCTGGGCTACGTCAAGTTCCAGTACGTGCCGCCGGGCGGCCAGCAGCACCCGTGGGTGCGGCGGTACGCGCAGGACGGCCGCCTGCTGCTGTCGCAGCGGCCCGGCCTCGGCGCCACCGCGCACCGGTACGACGGCGCCGGCCGGCGCACTGCCACGGCCAGCGGCGATGGCGAGACGCGCTTCACGTACGCGCCGAGCGGCGCGCTGGTCAGCGTGCGCCATTCGGAGCGCTTCTTCGGCTACCGCTTCGAGCTGGCGCACCAGGGGCCGCTGCTGCGCGAGCGGCGCGAGCAGTTCGACCCGGAGACGGGACTCAGCTCGGCGGTGTTCCGCTACGAGTACGACGGCCGGCTGCGGCCGACCGGCGTCACGGGCCGCGTCGGCGGCCGCCGGCTGGCGCCGCTGGAGCTGCGCTACAGCGCGCGCACCGGCCAGCTGACGCAGCTCGGGCCATTCAGCGTACAGCGCGTCGCCGACAACGAGACGGTGCTGGCGGCCGGCGGCGCCCGGCTGACGCGCGCCACGGACCGGTACGGCCGCGAGGCGAGCATGGCACTGACCGTCGGCGGCCGGGAGGTGTACCGTGCGCGCCGCCAGTACGACAACGCCGGCCGGCTGGCGGCCGAGCGGGTCTGGCGGCCGGAGCTGGGCGGCCAGCCGCGCAAGCGTACTCTGCACTACGGCCCGGATGGCGAGCTCACCGGCGACGACGCCGACGACTCGTGGCGCTTCGAGTACGACCGCAACGGCAACATGGTGCAGCTGCGCTTCAAGCAGAGCAACATCTCGCTGCAGGTGAGTGTGTGGGCCGCAGCGGCCAGCGGCCCGCTGTGGGGGTGTGCGTGGCTGCACGATGTCGTGCTGTCCGCTGCATGCTAACTTGTTTTCAGGAGGAGAGCTTTCCGCTTTGTTTACCGAGGACGAAGCAATGGTATTCGATGAATGTCGATTGGCGTGCCACTCAAATGCATTGAATCGATGGAGAATACGTGCGATGTTAGAGCAGGCCTCCAAAGACCTTCCCCGCGTCCTGCTATTGTCTTGCCATGCTAGCGAAGGGCCAAACCACGCGCGCCCCCAGCAGCGCACCTTCCGGACAAGTGGCGCCACCTGTACCGCCTCGCGCCGCCAGGTGAACGAGCACGACCGGCTAGTGCAGCTGAGCGGCGGCCAGCTGCGCTACGACTCGTCCGGCGCCGTGGTCGAGAACTTCCGCGAGCACAAGTACCGGTATGACGCGCGCGGACTGCTGGCCGCCGCCGTGCAGCCGACCGGCGGCCAGGTGCACTACTACTACGACCACGAGCGCCGCCTACTGGCGCGCAAGGACCAGCTGGGCAACATCACGCAGTTCTTCTATGGCGACCCACGCCACCCGCTGCATGTCACGCACGTGTACCGGCCCCGCTCCGACCAGCTGACGGAGATCCTGTACGACGACGAGGCGCGGCCGGTGATGGTGCGTGCCGACGCGCGCCGGTACACGGTGGTCTCGGACACGTGCGGCACGCCGCTGCTGCTGTACGACGAGCGCGGCAGGCTGGCGCGCGAGGTGCGCAGCGCCGCCTTCGGCCACCAGGTGAGCAACTCGTGGCCCGAGCTGTACCTGCCGGTGGGCTTCTGCGGCGGCCTCTGGGACGCCGTCACCGAGCTGCTGCACATGCCCGGAGGCCGCGTCTACGACCCGCTGGTCGGCCAGTGGCTGGCCCCCGACGTGGACGGCCTGCTCAGCAACCTGATGAACCCGCGCAAGCTGCACCTGTACCGCTTCAACGGCAACGACCCGATCAACGTGCGGCCGCGGGACGTGACGCCCACAGGTGAGACGCTCCGCACTTCGCCGCGAGACCTGTTGGCCGGCGGAGCTTCCTGGCTGATCGCCGACACCAGATCTGTCTGCTGCTCACTCATTGTTTGCGTATTTGACGGTTCTAGGGCTCATACGCATGAAGTGTAGACTACCTAGTTATGTTTATTTAGCCAGGGAAGCACTGATGATCTCTTGCCGTCTGCAGCTGTCACTGTTTTGTGAATGACCTCATCATCATTGGATCGCCTCTTCAGAGGCTGCTAGTTGTACTGAGCTGCGGTGCCGACGAACGCTGTCCTGTCTTGCGGCCTCCGGGCTCAGCAGCGTGTTCTCCGTGCCTGCAGACGAGGCCGGCTGGCTGGAGCGGCTCGGGTACCGGCTGGACCGGCTGGCGCCGCAGCTCCTGCTGCAGCCGGCCGTGTTCGGACTGACCGGCGGCGCGACGGCGACGGCGGCGGCGGCGGCGGCGGCATCGGCGGCGCCGTGCCTCACCTCTCTGCGGCCCGTGTCGGGCCGACTGGGCCGCCTGCGACGTCTGCTGCTGACGCCGCGCCGGCTCGGCCTCCTCTCGCGCGTGCCCGAGATGACGCTGCGGCGGCAGCCTGCGCCGGAGCGCTGGCCGCACCGCATCAGCAGCCAGCCGGGCCCACTCGGACCGGGGGTCATCCTGGTGGTGAACCTCGACGGCCGCGTGCAGGTGCGCGGCCTGCCCAGCGTCGACCCCATCGCCAGCGACGTGCTCACCACCGTCTTCAACCAGTCGTTCCTGGTGAACGTGACGACGGCGCCGCACCGCTTGGACGTGTTCCACTTCGTGAAGACGGCGCTGTGGAGCTTCGCCGACGACCACGATCAGCTGACGCGGCTGGCGCAGTTCAACGTGACGGCGCACAAGCACAGCGGCGACGAGCCGGGCCGGCACACGGCCGACCTGCGCATCCACACGGGCACGGCCAGCGTGCACGTGCGCTACGGCGCCACGCCGGCCGCCGAGCACCGGCGCCACGTGCGGCACGCGCGCCGGCTGGCCGTGCGCGCCGCCTGGGCGCTGGAGCGGCAGCTGCTACGGCGCGGCTTTGCGTCGCGCCGCTGGTCGGACGCCGAGCGCGAGGCGATCCTGGCGCGCGAGGGCGTGGCCGGCCTGGACTTCTGGTACCGGCACGAGCCGCACGAGTACCCCGAGCTGGCCGGCGACCCCTTCAACGTACGCTTCGGCCGCGCCGGCTAGCGCGCTGCCCGGCCCATAGCTGCATTGTGATATCTCGGCCGAGACAACGGGACCCGGCTGGTCCATATGCGACGCCCTCTTCGCGTATTCAGACATTCTAGTCATGGCGGGCGGTTGTGTGCGAGAGCTGTACGGTGGACGGACGCTTCTGCTCTTGATTCGCCTCCGGTTCAGCGCCGGCCAGAGGTACCAAGGAATGCGGGGTCTCGGGGCCGAAGTCCCTCAACCATTTTCTGGAATGTGCACTGATCTACGTAACATGCTACCGCATGCTGTACATGACAATGCACGTTGTCGGTGCCAGTGTGGATGCTGGTACAATCCAACGCTGTTGTTAGTGTATATGTTTAGTATGAACTATTCGTTTGTGGGCGCGTATGCAGGTCTGGTTATGTAACCATTCCTTTGGCACGCTGCGACGCACCTTTTGAATCTCTGCTTCGTTTCATGTTTGTAACGAATGAAGTCGGCATTACCGACGGGATATACATTTTGGCTGACGGCAGGCCAAATTGTTATAAAGGTGTTGTCTTTTCAGCAGTGCGTTCAAATCCTATATAACTATGGTATGATAACGTCGATGTTTTTAAGGGAATTTCATTACGAACTTGTAAATATACATATTTTCTATCGTGCTTATGTTTGCTACGCATGAACATATCCGCGATCTGCAACTACGGTTGCGGGACGGATGATTGAAAAGCCGACTGGCGCCGGTTTTTCTGGTACTGCCTGTCTGGCCGTGCAAGAAGTCTGCACGCGCCACGTCAGTGCTGATGAAAATATTGCGCATGATCTCTGCACTACCCCCTGGCGTTTCGCGGCATATCCGGCAGTTCGACATTCGGCGTTCAAATCAGTCCGTTTGCGGTCTCCGGGGCAGTGCCAACTACTGATCGACGCCTAACAGACAGGGGAGATAGAGCGATAAGTCGGACATAGCGTAATTAAGCACTACTAACGGCGGGTAATACGGGGATTTGTGTTTGCTAGACATCGCACGGAAAACCATCAAGTAACAGAACGTGACTCACCAGAAAAAGCTAAAAGCTAAGCCCCAAATATGCGTATTTAACCTAGAATGCCTCATAACTTATCTCCCCCGTGCACGACACCGAGGTGCGTTACGTCTAGGCAAAACCAAACGTAGGGCTACGGAGAGTGATAAACCGAACAAACGCTAGCATACCACAAGCCGTCACATTCAGCTGCCTGGCAAATAGAGGTCGGGTCCTCTTGGGGTCACATGGGTGAATAATGGGCTGCATGGGCGTCACCCCTGATTGACACAGAATTTGCCGGCTGTAAAGAGCTAGAAAATCTGGGGAATGCAAAAGTTAAAGCATTATTACAAATCATAACATTTGGACGCTCACCTTCACAGGTCACAGTAACTGGCCCATTGCAGGTCACTCGGGCATCGTCTCTGATCGGCGCAAAACTTTCAGCTTAGCAAACCCTGCCGAGCGAAGCAAAGTTAACTTTATCGTGGGCCGGCGCACACAGGCGTGTGACGTCCGGAGGTAGTAAAGTTTGACCCCAATGACGGGTCACCCAAAGCACCACCGCCACCCATGAGCGATGCTGAATGCGATGAGCAGATAGTCACACTAAGCCACACTACACGTAATGCTGCCACATCCACTGACGCAAAACCTTATGCCCGTGAAGTTAGCGATTTATTCAGTGATTTTTTTAAGCGACGAGTTCTGACTTCTGTGAAAAGGGATCTCAGGGTCAATTGTGGCATGAGAACACCAAAAATGAACCTTTTTTGCATTTCATGTGACCTTCAGGGTCAAAAGCTGAGTTAAGGGACGGGGAACTCGATATCACCCAAAAACTACCGGCCGATTTGAAAACCGTGAACATCAAAATATTCACAAGCGCAAGAGGAGGCGTCCTTCAAAAAGTCCTGACATCTCAAGGTCAACTTTCAGGGTCAAACACCGGCTCAAAAGACGGAGAACTCCATGTCACCTAAGAATTACCCGCCGATTTCAAACTTACAGTCATCAGAATATTCACCACAGAAAGAACTGGCGTCCGTCAAAAAGTCCAGACCTCTCTAGGTCACCGTTTAAGGTCAAAAGCGGGCTTAGAGGACGGGGAACTCCATATCACCAACAAATTACCGGCCGACTCTTAACTTACAAAAAGCAGATTTTTTACTACAGAAAGAACAAGCCTCCTTAAAAAAAACTGACCTCTCAAGGTCACTCTTCAAGGTAAAACACGGGCTCAAAGGACGGGGAACTCCACACCACTCAGAAATTGCTGGCTGATTTTCAACTTGCAAACATCAAAACGTTCACCAAGTCATGTCAGGTCAGCTCAGTATCTATTCTGATGCTTATGCTTACTTGCGAATAGTCTGATGCTTACAAGATTACATCAGCCGGTAGGTTTGGGTGATATGGGGTTCCGCGTCCTTTTGGCTAGCGTTTGACCTTGAAGAATGACCTTGAGAAAACGACTTTGAGAGGTCAGGACTTTTTCACGGACGTCATTTCTTCTTGTGGTGCACATTCCCACAGCTGAAAGTTTAAAATTAGCCGGTGGCTTTGGGTGTTTTTAAGCTATCTGTGTTTTGAACCCACGTTTGACCTTGAAGAACGATCTTGAGAGGTCAGGACATTTTCTAGAACGCTAGTTGTTTTGGTGGGGAATATTCTGACCTTTGAAAGTTTAAAATCGAGCGGTAATTTTGGGGTAGTTTTTCTGTGGTGTATATTCTAAAGTTCACTGTCTTTTGAGCCCATGTTTGATCCTGAAGAATGACATTGAGAGCGAAGGATTTTTTCACGGATGGCAGCTCTATCTGTGTTAGATATTCCGATCTTTGTAAGTTGAAAACCAGTCGATAATTTTTTGGTGATGTGTAGTTTCTCACCCTTTGAGCCTACATTTGACCTTGAAGGGTGACCTTAAGAGGTGCGGACTTTGTGATGAACGCGGATTTTTTTCTGTGGCGAATATCCTGATGTTTTTAAGTTTGAAATCGGACAGTAATTTTTGGGTGGTATGGAGCTCCCCGTCTTTTGAACCGGCGTTTGAGCTCGAAGGGTGATCTTGAGAGGTCAGGACTTTTTAAATGACGCCAGCTCTTTCTGTGGTGAGTATTCTGACGTTCATAGGTAAGAATTCGGCCGGTAATCTTTGGGTGATATGTAATTCCCCGTTTCTTGAGCCCATGCTTGACCTTGAATGGTGACCTTGAGACGTCAGGATTTTTTGGCGGGCGCTGGTTCTTTCTGCGGTGAATATTCTGATGTTTTTAGGTTAAAAATTGGCCGGTGATTTTTGTGTGATATGGAGCTCCCCGTCTTTTGAGTCCGCGTTTGATCTTGAAGTGTGACCTTGAGAGGTCAGAACTTTTCGATGGACGTTAGTTCTTTCTGTGGTAAATATTTTGGTGTTGATAAGCTAAAAATCTGCCGGAGGTTTTTGGTGATATGCAGTAGTCCCCCGTCCTTTAAGCCCGCCTCTGACCTTGAACGGTGACCTTGAGAGGTCAGGACAGACGGGCACCAGTTATTTCTGTGGTGTATATTCTAATGTTTGCAAGTTTAAAATCGGTGGGTAATTTTTGGGTTATATGGGGTTCCCCGTCCTTTGTGTCGGCGTTATGGCGGCCTTCACGGCGTTGACCGTGAAGGATGACCTTGAGTGGTGAGAACTTTTCGACGCCAGCTCCTGCGATTGTAAATATTTCGATGCCCGCAGTTTTCAAATCGGGTGGTAGTTTTTGGGTGATATCGAGTTCTCCGTCCTTTGACCCACCTTTTGGCCTTGAAGGTCACATGAAATTACAAAATAAAGTCATTTTTTGGTGTTCTCATGTCACGACTGAGTTGGAGACCCTTTTTAGAGAAATTGAACTCGTCGTTAAAAAATCGCTGAATAAATCGCAAACTTCACGGACATCATGCCTTATAGCTCGTCGCCATGGGTATTGCCATGTCTTTTTCGGGATTAGAAGTGGCAGAATAGGGTTGCGGTAACGAAACTGAAGTCAGAGGGGGGGGGGGGGGCAGCCTGACCTGAAAATACCACGGATAGGCAACCGTAAAGAACATACATCCTGCGGGCAAAATCGGCTGGAACAAGAGGACACCACTAACGTCAGAGGCGGCACTTCTCTATTCATCTCCCAATGGTTGCACCCATCCTAGCCACCCCAGCGCAGCCCAAAATGCTTACTCGTGCAGAAACTACGCATGTGACATGCGCTATGACGTCACATTCCGAGCAACACAACAACCCTTGTAAAACAATGTATTCACATCAACGCGCCGTTCCACAATGGGGTGAGAACAGAAAAGCGAGCCGTGCGCAAAGCTATGTCACAGTGAGCGATGATAACGACCGGATGGATGAACGAAAAATCGCGCTTAAATACGAGTTACTTCCACGCCATTCTCAGCGATGCAAGATTTCTCACATTAAACACAGCAGGTCACCCAGCTACGCTTCTGAAACCGAACGACAAAACTTGCGCGTAACCATGTTGCCCGGCTCCCCAGTTATGGACGCCGGGCAGCACCAGTGGTGACCGCCACATTCTACATTCGCTAGTTTGTACGTCTGTCTACACTTCACGACTAAACAACGATTATTTGTCATGCACGACCAGCGCAACAAGTACGCACGACGAGACAGATTTAGTGACGCCACTGGCACGCTGTCACAGCGAACCTTCACTGTGCAGCTGCCCTCAGCCGCGAAGATACACGACAAAAACAAGTCGCAAAAATGGCTTCCACACCATCGTGCGGTGACGCCACGCGCTCCCGCCCACCGTACGTGGGTCGCCCTGTTCAGCAATGCCTCTGCGCCATGCCGTCGAACGGCAGGCCCGGCCAGGTCACTGGGCCCGGCCGGCCGTCCGCGCCGTCGCCGGCGGGCCAGGCGGGCCGGCGCGGCGCGGCTCGGCCGCCGCCCGGCGCGCCAGCAGCGCCTCCACCACGCTGTCCTGGCGGCGCTGCACGCCCGACGTCTCGGCGAACACGAAGCGCAGGCAGCCGAACTGCAGGTGGCAGCCGTGGTGGAGCAGCGCCGAGCTTTCGAAGCCGCGGCGCGGCGCCTCGGGCGGCCCGGCCTGCGCGCACACGCAGCGGCAGCGCCGCCGCTCCAGGCGCGGCCGCTTGCTCATGGTGGCGGCCGCCGGCGGCGGCGGCGCGCCGCGCGCCTCCCGGCGCCGCTCGGCCGCCGAGCGCGTGGCCGTCTCCACCGGCGACTCGGCGCGGCCGGCGCTCACCGTCTGCGCCGAGAAGTTGCACGCGTACAGCACGCCCTCCACCACGGTGCCGTGCTCGCTGTAGTTGAGCAGCTCGAAGCGACGCGCCGTGTCGTCAAAGAAGACGGTGGCGTGGTGGCCCGACACGAAGTTGCAGAAGCCGTGCGCGTCCAGGTTGAGGTCGTTGCCGGCGCCGCTGCCGATCGTCAGGCTGCGGTAGCGGACGTACTCTGTGGCGCCGAAGCCGCTGAGCGGCGTCAGCGTGGCACGCGGCGCCACCACCGACGCCGCGCTGCGCTCCGAGTCGAGCGCGGCGCGCGGCGCCAGCCGGCCGGCGGCGTGCGGCCCCAGCAGCTGCGCCAGCCGCTGCACGGCTAGCAGCTGCACCAGCCGCTCGTCCAGCGCGGCCAGGTCGAGTGAGCCGGCGGCGCGCAGCTGGGCGCGCAGCTCCTGCAGCTCGGCCGAGTCGTCTGCCCCCGAGGCCAGCGACGACCGCCGCTTGTCGTGCTTGCCGAGACCCTCGGTCAGGCACGCCTTGAGGATCGTGTCTGTCTGGCTTCGCTTTGGATCAGACAGCTTGCGGGTGCAGTGCTTGCTCACCCTTGGGTCTATGTCGCCATTGGTGGTGATCTCACTCTTAGGGGAGCAGACTGCTGCTTCTTGGGTGGCACCATCTGCTTCTGGTTCACAGGGCTCCTTCTTCATGACTTGGCTAACTGCATTCTCAGTATCCTGCTTGAGAATGTCAGATGCCATCAGCTGCATGCTAATGATGCTTTTCAGCCAAAGCTCCTGCTCATCTTCTGTAGCCTGCACTGTGCTTGGACCACCTGAGAATGTGTGCCAGTTTCTATCTGCAGTGGCTGGTGCAGGTATTGGGTTTTGGTAGTGGCATCTTACAGCTGCTGGAACATCTACCAGGTTTTCATTTTGTATCCTGATTTTGTACCTGAATGGGGGATGCTTGCGGTGAACCCTGCTTAGAAACCGGATCTTCACCATATCTTGGTCTAGGGGGCCCTGAAACTGGCTCCAAAGTTTCAACCTCTCGGTTAAGCGAGATGTGGTCAGCATTTCAGAGTCCAAGAAGTTTTCTACATGAAGTGGGCACATCCAGACAGTTCCTGTGGGCAGTGTGGTGAGAGGTGGGTCCAAACAATCCATATGGAAGCATGCACTACAGTAGTCACAAGCTATGAGAGGTGCTACTCGGCAGCTTTTGGCACACTTGAAGCATGTTTTGGCTGGGAGTGGTACAAGTCCATTATCCAGCTCATGGGGCTTTTTCTTATTTCCAGACCCTTTGTGGTAGAGTTTTGGCTCTCCAGGCAGCAGATCATTCACCACCAGCTCAGAGGGCAATTCAAACTGCTTGGGATTCAGAAGTGAAGCAGCTTGGATGAGTTGCTGCAAAGGGGACCTGATGGCAATTATTTCTGCATACTCAGGATTGTCTGAGTTCATCTCCTGTTGCCAAAGTGTTCTGTGTGTGGCACCCAGCTTGAGAGCTTCAGTTGCTTTGCAGTTGTGACAGATCCAGTCACCTAATGGTATGTCCTCTTCTGGAATAGGTGGGTCATGGCAGCCCAAGTGAAAAGATGCAGGACAGCGATCACAGCACAGCAAGTCTCCACCTTCACCACATGAGTCACACTTGTCATTGTTGTGGCCCTTCCCAGGTCTTCGGAAATATGGATGTAGCTCCAGCCCCTCTCTTCGCTTCTTTTCTTCTCCGGGAGGAGCAATAAGGGTTTGAATCTCATCCATCAAACTGCCAGAATTACTATTACTATAATCTCTGGACATGTTTCTTCACAAATATACACACAAGCTAGTTGCAAGCTGCACTTATAACCAGATCCGTTTACTTGATACACTTCACGTATATTGACCTTTTTCAGGAACTTTTTTCGCTAATCCTCACGCATCGCAACAGCATATTGGAAACGCTTTGTACATGGGCCTTGTGCTTTCAACTTCATGCCAGCAAACAGATCTACACAGAGCACCCGAACTTGTCGGCACGTAACTAATGGAAATAAACACGCGGCTGGCGTCCTAACATGGTGGCATATATGATGCAAAGGTGCGCCACATTGGCTTGCTTCTAAATACGCTCAGCTGATTTATATATGTGACGTCTTTGCACTTTGATCTACATACTTTAAAGTTTAAACATCTATCGACCGTTTTCAAACTGAACTTTCGTTTATGATTTCACTTAAAAGATACGAGGCATTTCGCGCCATTTTATTACAGAAAACATATTTACTTCGTCAACAAATAAGCATGTCGTTCACTTAAAAAATAACAACAATTACTTGCAAAGCTGTCAGGGAAGTGGGACTTGAAAATGAAAGCTTTGAAACTGCGCTATAGTATGACTTTTTTCCTTATTCGTTTTGATTGTTACGCTTTTTTACAAGGTACCCGAAGTGGCAGTACTTTAATAGACCCATTGTGCCGCCGGTGATATTTATGTCGACAAACGCTGCGCACCTAACCCTAGTTTGTGGCTTGTCATTGTTCGGGGCAGCGATCTGCTGTGCCGTGCCGTTTGCAAGGTCAGGCATTGTGCAGCGTGTGAATCCACTGGCCTGTATTGACGCTTACTGGCGTGGGTTAAATATTGCGATTTTGCAGGTATTGACCTACCTGTATTGGACACCTGACCGCTCTGAAAGGGAGACATTTCTGAGGTCTGTTTTGAACGTTTTGTTCAGAATTCCTGCTTGTGGCTTGTGGGTGGTAGATATTTTATTTTGCGTAGCTTCCTGTCATAGGTAGCGGAAAACGCCTTAGCTGCAAATATGACAAATCAAAATCAGAATGCAAAGCAAGCTAAGAATGAGTCAAAAGAAGAGCCTAAGAATGATGGACAGGTGCAAGCCAAGGACAAAAAGGAGAAGGATAAGGCTGCAAAGGAACAGGAGGAATTGGTAAGGCCTGTTTAAATACCTTATTTTTCACTTACTGCATGCTGTATTACTATGGTACTGCTGTGGGAATACTTTTTCAGTCTGGGTATACATTGCTACCTCATGTTAAGAAAGAGCATTGTACATCAATCGTCATTTTTAAGGCAGAACATATCGTAATTCATCGTACGACAGGTCATCTAAGCTCTTACCTTGGAACTCAAATAACTATGATAGCGAACATCTGAGCACAAACATGCAGCAACCACAACTCTGGCACCCTTTCTATGCGTGCTCGCAACATTGCTGCATGATCACAACATTACTGTGCATCAAGAACCATGAAAATGTATGAGGCCAAGGTAATAAGAATTCAGTAAAATGTGTTTCTTGAGTAGCCAAGCAGTCTTCTGTATTGTTTGTAGATGGTCCAACATGGTGGGGAAATATGATGTTTTTGTGTGGGAATGAAAAGCAGGATGAGAATATGGTGGCTAAACAAAACTTCTTAATAGGGTGCATATATATGGCATGGAACATGGATGCCAATGGACACTGGTGTGAAGGGAATAGGGGGCAGGTGGGTGGTGAAGCTAGTTAGGTTAGGTTAGGTTAGGTAGTTAGGTTGGCTAGGTTAGGCTAGGTAGGTAGGCTAGGCTAGGTAGGTAGACGTGTAGGAGGTAAGGAAAGGCTAGGTAGCTATGTCTGGGCTATTGCCTGTCCATTTGAAATGTTAGACATGAAGAAGTTTTCATTGATTATTGTTACAGTGATAAAGATCCATTCTCTGCTGGATTATTGCCTGACACATAGACTGCAAGAATACATGTACACTTACACGCCTGCAAAAAGTACTTGTCATACTAAACATAGTGGCACAGCAGCAACATAACAGCCAAAGTTCAATGCAATTTCACAGTAAACTCCAGCTGGTGCTGAGAAGGAAATTTTACTCAAAATTACCCTCATACATTTGTTTTTTTTGCACTGAAATACTTCAAAATTTGTGGCAATATTTTGGCCAAGTTTGGTACACACAATTGCAAAGCTGAGCACACTGATGTGGTGTAGGCATCCAGTGCATTAAATGTATTTCTTGCGGTTTGTGTGCAGACCTTGTCCAGTGTAGAAGACATCCTAGCGACAAGTTCAGCTCCCACACAGCATATAAGTGAGAGCCTAGAGTTCATTGCACAGTTGCTACCAGTATCAGCCCATTTTAAGATGAGGTTTCAAAGAATTATGCTGATGCTTAAAATTGCTGTCTGAGAATTCAGGTAAGGACAATTTTAGAATTCAACCTTAGATGGTCTCACTCGTGTTTGATGCACATGTGCTGTAGGTTTAGAGCATGGATGTTATGTTAGTAAATGTCAATCTCAGGTGGATTTGTTTTTGCAAACTGTCATGATCTCATTATGCTAACCCTAAAGCACTTGTGCACCAAATTTAGCCCATGGAACATATGCTGAATTTTCAACTTATTTATGCTGGAAATTTAGTAAGTGTGTTTGCTGTTGAACATTGCCTTAGGGACATAAACACAATTACAGCTACAAATATCCTTGAAACATTTACTGTAACTTGGTAGAGTTGGTAGTGACAGTGCACCAAATGCTGGGCTCTTAGATGTGTAGGTGAGACCTCTTACTTTCTTATCAGGATGTCTGCTATGTCAGACATTTTTGGGACATAACATGCATTCTGTTTTTGTCTGGGACCGGTATGCTAACAATATCCACTGTGCTGGAGGCTAACATGATATCTGTTTGCTGAATCTGAACCACACTTGCACCAAATTCAGCCCATGCCTAACTGCCAAATGTTTAAAGTGTTTGTGCCTGAAAAATATTTGGGATTGTTCTTGATGGGAACTTCCTAAGCAACAGCATTATTCATGAAGCTGTTAACTCTATATGCACTGAAAGTTGTAGTTACCATGCACAGTACTCTGTGCTCTTTGATTTACAGTGGGCACGTACTCACATTGTTGCTGGGATGCCTCTCATGTTCTGGGCATGTTTGGCTCAACATTGATTTTTTGCAGTCTTGGTCTGCAGGCATGTATGATCTTTGTTCAGCACAAGCTAAATCTGACTTACCTTTTAAATTATATGTGCTGATAAAACAATACTTTTGAAATTTTGGGGAAGTTCCCTGAAGCTACCCTAATCACATTCTAATATCTTGCAAAGATTGGCTCTGGTATGCTTTCATTACTGCCAAACTAAGAAATTGTCTTGTTGATTGAACATGAAATTGGCCAGTGCTGAACCCAAGGATTCAGATTTTCAGCATATGCACATTCTAAGTTTTGGCTCAATTGTGTGACCATGTGGCACAATCTGTGTAATATAATCTTGTATAATCATGATCATTTTATTGTGTTCAGGGCGGTGACTTTCACTAGCGCATAAACTTTTGCTGATGGAAGGGTAAAAATATAACCTTATTGTTGCCATGCATCAGTTTTCACATTTTAACCTTGAATTAGCAGCTATTTCCATCCCTTACACACATTATTTGTGTTATTTCCACTAGATACATGCTTTTGGGTACAGTTTTTTTTGCAGAAGAATGCAAAATTGTTTATAAGTTGGTGCTCACCACCCACTCCCAGTGCACCTAGCAGTGTTGGTGCCTGTCATGTTCATCCATGTCATGTCTTATTTTGCAGTCAGAGGAAGACAAGCAGCTGCAGGAGGAATTGAACATGCTGGTGGTGCCTGTCATGGTGGTGAATGTGTTGGTGCCTGTCATGTTCATCCATGTCATGTCTTATTTTGCAGTCAGAGGAAGACAAGCAGCTGCAGGAGGAATTGAACATGCTGGTGGAGAGGCTTCAGGCAAGTATTGAACTTCAGTGCTGGTCATGAGAACAATTCTCTCATTTTTAATTTTTTTAATGTTAACAATTGCATGTATTCCTTCTTGTCAGGTAATTAACAGGGATTGGTGTGCAATATGTAGAGTGCCTATTAAACCTATGCGCATCTTGTTGTCTTAATATTGTAGTGAACCAAAGGTCCAGGATGTGCCCACAATGGTGTGTGTAAAACAAAATTGGCTGTCTGTTCTCAGGAAAATGATACGTCACTATACATGCCAGCACTGGAGTCACTCCGTACCATGATCCGGGCCTCCACCACGTCGATGACCTCGGTGCCCAAGCCACTCAAGGTGAGATGTGGTGAAGCTCCATTTGTGGGAGTGATGGTTATAGATCTGTTAATATTCCATGTAGCAATGTGACTGTAACTGTTTGACCGTAATTGTGCGCCCTTAATATTTAGACTACAGTCGTAATGATGATATCTTTGGTGCCGTCTCGACACCAGTCTCCGCAGTTGAGCCCAGTTTGCATACATTAATCGTTGGCACCTTTCTGGTGGGTGGCCTCTGGATATCACTTGTCGCCTGTGTTATGTGCGTTCTTTCCCATCCCTGCATTAGGATCAAGGTGTGTCCACGCCGACCGACGTCGTGTTGTAATGCCGGACTGTCTCGCAGTTTATGCGGCCGCATTTCGAGACAATGAAGACGATTCACGCGAACATGACGGATAAGAAGGTGAAGGGCACATGCGCCGACGTTGTGTCCGTGCTGGCCATGACCATGTCAGACCAGCGCGAGTGCCTCAAGTACAAACTGGTCGGCTTTAGCAACGACGTGGGCGACTGGGGCCACGAGTATGTCCGGTGAGTGTGTCCGCGGCGACGGCCGAGTCTTGTCGCCTGCTGGCCCGGCCCACTCAGCTGAACTGAGCTCAGCTCATCTCAGCTCAGCTCAGCTCAGCTCAGCTCAGCTCAGCTCAGCTCAGCTCAGCTCAGCTCAGCTCAGCTCAGCTCAGCTCAGCCACCGGACAGCTTCATACGTTCGGTGGCCGAGACAGACCCGCCGAAGATGCGGGGCACCACCTGTTTGGCGGGTCTGGGTCGGGCTGGAAATCGCCCGTTGAGAGCGGTTGGGCCTGAGCCAGAGCCTGTGCCCAACTCTGCGCTGTTTAGAATCCAGCGCCGTCTCCTGTCGCTGTGCCGCCTGTCTCCGCTCTGCACGTACTGTCGGGCTCGGTCCCTGCCAGCTGGCCTCCGTCTCCGCGCCTGTTCGCCGTCCACCGTCGCCTGACGTCGTCCACCGCCGCCGCAGGCACCTTGCGGGTGACATCGCGTCCGAGTGGACCGAGCCGACGGAGTCGGCCGAGGAGGGCGGGACCGAGCAGGCGCGCGAGGCGCTGGTCCGGCTCTCCGCCCAGCTGGTGGCCTACCTCATGGAACACAACGCCGAGGCCGAGGCCTGTGACCTGCTCATGGAGATCGAGCGGCTCGACCTTCTCAGCCAGCACGTCAGCAAGGACACGTACCAGCGCGTCTGCCTGTACCTTACCAGGTCAGCAGCAAGTCCCAGGCTGTCAGGCCCGACACCTAGCTGGACAAAGGTCGGCGGTGGATGCACGTGCGCAGAAGCCCTCTTGACCTAGCTGGTACAACTACCTGCAAAAACGAACCAGCTAAATGGCATGACAGGAGGGTTCTGTTTCCACTATCAGTCTCACAGACAAGATTCTGGCAACTCTGAATTGTGTGGTTTGTCTGTACTGAACTGGGTATCGTCGCCGCTCATATGAGGCGAGACTTGGCCTTTTGTGTGCAGCCAATCGACTTCCCAGCGGCGTTACTGTGTGACCGCGTCACGTGCTGAGCAGGATATTGCGTGACCGTGCCCTGTTCTGTGCGGCTTACCGTGTGACTTGTCCCGTTCTGAGCAATGTATCGTGTGACGGCGACTCGCTCTGAGCGGCACAGTGTGTCCGCGTCCCATCCTGAGCGTGTTGCGTGACCACGCGTCGGTACAGGCGGCGCGTTACGCTCGCCCGTGCCCCACCCCCAGCTGCGTGCCGTACGTGCCGGACCCGGAGAACACGCGGCAGCTGCACGTGGCGCTGCAGCTGTTCCGCAAGTTCGAGCAGTACCCGCAGGCGTTGCGGATCGCCATGCAGCTGCAGGATCAGGCGCTCATCCAGGAGATCTTCTTCGACTGCAAGGACAAGTGAGTGGCGGCCGGGTCGCACGTGTGCACACGGACTGCGGACGCGTGTGGTGCTGCTGGATGTCACATGCTGCCGTGGACCAGGAACGATGCGTCGCTCGCCAAAGAGTTTCAAAGCGAGTGTTCGGCATGTGAAGTGATACCACATGCTGGAGCGGCGCCGACCAAATTATCAAAACGGCTTAGTGCCCTGCTGTCTCGCCAACACGGCTCAGCACGGCTTGAGCCGTACTATAATGGTCCTGCGTGGCTGCATTCGCTTGCCTGTGACCTGATTCAGCCAGTCTCCTTATGACTGCCGTTCGCTGCCTGCGTGAGAAGCAATGTTGACTGAGTGCGAGCGCAAATCGTGTACCGGTGGCAGCGGGCAGCGAAATTTGTCACGTTTGATGGCGTTTACCGCAATCTCAGCGCACTCTCGAGCCGGGCGTGGACAGTCGAGTGAGACATGATGTGCGGCTGCTCCTGGTCTTTCTCCGTCTGTGACTCGCTGTGTGGCCACTCCTGGCTGTCTCTGTCTGCGACGCTGCGCGGCCGCCCCCAGCTGTCTCCGTCTGCGACTTTGCGCGGCCACCCCTAGCTGCCCCCGTCTGCTATTCTGCGCGGTCGCCCCTAGCTGTCTGTCCTGGTCTGTCGAAGCACCTGTATTTGACGCGCGTCGTAGCTGTGGTATCGCGTTCCAGTGTGGAGGTAACGCCAGCTGACATGGCGCCATGTCCCCTTAGGTCACTTCAGAAACAGCTGGCCTACATGCTGGCCCGGCAAGGCGTGTTCGTCGATCTGAACGAGGACGACCACGGCGACCTGGTGGAGATCATCAACAACACCGACCTGAACACGAACTTCCTATCCCTGGCGCGCGAGGTAATGTCCGTCACCCACCGCTTGACCGTGAGCTCAAGTGCCCCGACTGGTGCGTGTGTGTGGTGACCTCGGACTTAGTGACATGGTTGTATCCCGGTTGCCGCCATGGCCGGATGTCGCTGCAGATGCGCGGTGCTTTCCTCCAGCAGCCCGCCCCTCGTGCGGATGCCGCGTCCGCGCCACCGCACCAGACCGCTCCGCCGGCCACCCTAGCCCTGCCGGGGCCAGAGGGAGCATCGGCTGTCCCCGGTTGTGACCGGCCGCCCGCACCAACGGGGGTTATTGCCGCGGCGTCGGACGCGTCGCCGGCCACCCCTCCCCCTCCCCCCCCCCCGCGCGCGGCGCCGTCAGGGGCAGCCGCCACCTCCCGTCTGGTTAGGTGGTACGTCACGCTGCGAGGCCATTACGATGACGTCGTAATGTTGGCACTGGAAGGCTTACCTACCACGGCTCATGTTGTGTTGTCGGCTTCGCGTGACGGCGTGACCCGCCGCCATGACAGGGGTGGCGTGTTCTGGCAGGAATCGAGCCGGAGCTTACAGCTCGGAGCTGGGACGGTCGACAATTTGCATTGGTTTAAGTTTTGGCTGGTTCTGCCGGTGCCGTTGCGTATCTAAATCATGCTGATTCGTATTTTGACCGCGGTGAAGTTGCGTCGGGGTGTGGTGAGCTGTAGGGAATCGCCGTTTGTCAGTGTTGTATTCGTATTCATATAGCGTTACACTTACCACTTCCGTCAACTCCTTACGGCCCCTCCGATGTCTGGGATATGGGACCGATGATGCTGAACGTCACGCGACGCTGAGTTTGACACCCGTTTCCTCTATGTCACTGAAGTTAGATTGATCAGCAGAAGTTCTGGTTTACGTACGATTGGGTTCCAGCCCTGCGGGTTGATCAAGTTAGAAGGGTTATGAACTAGATGGCTGGAGGGAAACTTGCGAGCGTAACCTGACTTGGAGCCCCCAGTCTTGACCGTGTTTTGCTCTGGTCTCGGATCCCAGATTGCCTTTGAACGAACATGATTTATATGTGCTAACTGTTAATATGCTAGAAGTGATCTCAAGAGAACGGTCGTAGAGATCATGGATCGTACAGTCGTGTTGGCTAGTACGCACACCAGTAGAAGTCAGGCGCGTCCATTGCATTACAGCCATTCTCGGGCGGGTTTGTAGCACGATTGCAAGGCACTCCAAGTCACGGAGGTTTGCGGACTTAGTTTGACACACATCAGGTCTACCCATTATGATAAAAAACAGCATGTGAGCTTCCATTCCGTTTGCATTGTTTGTGACAGTCATGACAAAATCAGCGTTTTCGAGTAACTGTCGTCCTGGTTTTCTGAATCGTAATCGTTCTCACCGCTAGAAGGCACTCTAATCAATGATCAACTTTCTGTTCGTGTAGTCACAAAACAAATCAAAGCATTGGGAGGACCCACTGTTGCGTAAATTTTTAGAGTCATTGTGTTGATGGCGTATTTAATGCTGATATATCTCGTTATCACTATTGACTTTTTGCCCAGGATTACTGAACAATCATCCCACATTTTGTCACTTGCATTTTGTATTATGAACCTGTTGTGAATTTCATGCATTTTGGTCATTTCGCATCACCATCATGCTCTCTTATTTCCAAAAATGCCGCACCGGTGGTGATCCAGCATATGCACACTCATTGTGTCGGATCTCGTTTGGGAGATGACCGCGCCGCTTGTCAGACGTTACCGTGTCGATCTGGCCGCCGCAGCTGGACATCATGGAGCCCAAGACGCCGGAGGACATCTACAAGTCGCACCTGGACAACGCGCGCCCGTCGTTCGGCGCCAACGTCGACTCGGCGCGGCAAAACCTGGCGGCCAGCTTCGTCAACGGCCTGGTGAATGCGGGCTTCGGCCGCGACAAGCTCATGACCGACGACGGCAACAAGTGGCTCTACAAGAACAAGGAGCACGGTACGCGCATGCTGCCCCGCACTCCTTGACCTCCCTCCCCCCCCCCCCCCCCCCCTGGTGTCTGTCCTGCACGTGTCCGTGCCCGTCCGAACTTCGGACGGCTCTGTTAAACGGCGTGGCCCTGTGTGTCCTTGTCGGATGTACCTCGGTGTCGTAGCTCATCTGGCCACGTTCGACCGACGACGAGTCTCGTGAGGTCGGCGTGTCGCCGCCGGTGAACAGTGGCCGCGCCGTGCTGTCCCCGCCGCGCCACGCTGCGCTGACCGCTCGCCGCCGCCGCCGCCGGCAGGCATGATGAGCGCCATGGCCTCGTTCGGGCTGGTGCTGCTGTGGGACGTGGACGGCGGCCTGACACAGATCGACAAGTACCTCTACTCCAACGAGGACTTCATCAAGGCGGGCGCGCTGCTCGCCTGCGGCATCGTCAACTCGGGCGTGCGCAACGAGTGCGACCCGGCACTGGCGCTGCTCTCCGACTACCTGCTGCACCAGAACAACCTGATCCGGGTCGGCTCCATCCTGGGTACGGCGGGCCGCCGGCCGGAGCGGGGCCGCGCGCTGGGAGGGCTCGTGCTCAGCGCGGGGGTTCAGCCGGGGCTTTGACTGCGCGCCGTTCGCAGTCCGTGCAATCGTCTCGTGGTCTTATCGCGTGCTGCCTTGCTTGTGTGCTGAGCGGCGTGTGTGGATGATGCCGAGCGGCTGGTGCGCCTGCGCTGAACGGAACACCGTGCTCTGCAGGCCTTGGGAATCGCGTACGGCGGCACCAACCGAGAAGATGTGCTGTCCATCCTCCTGCCCGCCATGCAGGACCCCAAGTCCAACAAGGAGGTAGGTGTCGGCCCCTGGTACAAACGGGAAAGGCGTGACAGTGCTGCTTGTAGTCAAGTGGTGGTAGTCCTTGCTACCACATGGTACTAAAATGTGTTCCTTCGATTTGTGGGTACGCACGCCAAATCCTACTTCAGGCCGGACTGTCGTGTGTTTTTTCTGGTTTCTTTACGCGTGGGGTGTAGTCACCGGCGACGACAATCCCTAAGCATGCTAGCGTTATATGGAGCACCCAGCCAGCCAGCAAATCGGGACGTATGTTTGATGCTGATATCTGATGAGCAGCAGCCCTGTGTTGTTTGTATGTATTGGTATCTGCATAGCTCTCCGATGCGGTTCTCGTCTGTTACTAAAGGCGACATTCTCAGGGCATCCAGATCCCCACTGGCCGGCCTCCCATCACCTGTCACCATGAGCAGCTAACATGGGAGCCTATATGTCACCATGAGTAATTAACGTGGGAGCCTAATAGACTCCCATGTTAGCTGCTCTCATCGCTTTCAAATGCACCCCATTTACGCCCTCACATGCAACGCCGGATGTATCAGTCAGGTCAATTGCACCCGCACGTGTTATACCTGATGTACGAGGCGTGTTCGGTTTGCTACTATTGCTGTGATGTGGGGAGGACGCAGCTCAGCAAGGAGAGAGCGTGCTACACGGCCGTGCACGGAAAGCCTCTGAGTTCGAACTTAAATACTTTAGATGTTTAATGCGGCGTAATCCCCAATAGTTACTACTATCAGTGCTCTGATGCAACGGCCGTAGTTTTCAGAGACGTAACATGCGTTTATTGAACCACACCTCCCAACGCCAATAACATATACGCTGCACGCACCGGCGGCCGCCTGGGCGCCCACGGGGGCGGCGGCGGGGCCGTCTCCGGTGCTGGCTGCCTCTGACGTCATCCGCCCGGCGCCGGCAGGTGGTGGCCGTGACGGCTCTGGCCTGCGGCATGATCGCCGTCGGCTCCGGCAACCCGGACGTGGCGCCGGCCATCCTGCAGGTCATCATGGACCGCGCCACCGCCGGCGACACCAAGGACGCCTACGTCAAGTTCCTGCCGCTGGCGCTCGGGACTCATCTACCTCGGTACGGGCGGGCGGTGGGCCGGCGCGCGTGCGGCTGGTTTCGCTCTCACGCGCTCTGTTTGTGTCGGCTTCCCTGACTACGGCTTCAGGGTCCGTCTCCCCGACAGACTGCGCCCGGGTCAGATCGGGGTCGCGTGACCGCGTCAGCCGGGGAGTAGCTCAGCAGCCAGCAAGTCTTGGTATTGTGAGGCACCGAGTGCTAGTGGACTTGTCGGAATGCTGAACACGGAGCGTGGAAAGCTGGAAGAGTGCTGAGTTTTCAGTTAATATAGAATTTGTTTCGCCTATTCAGCGATGAAGGTATCACTGTGCCACTGGTACTGACGTAAGGTGGCACCTGTTTGGGCAGGCAAACAAGAGGACGCCGAGGTCATCACGTGCGCGCTGGAGGTGTGCGACGAGCCGTTCCGCTCCATGGCCACAACCATGGTGGAGGTGTGCGCCTACGCCGGTACCGGCCACGTACTCAAGATCCAGAAGCTGCTGCACATCTGCTCCGATCACTACGAGCCGGAGAAGGTGAGCCGATGAGTGGCGCGGGGGCCGGGGAACGAGGCGGCGCCGGCGCCGCTGCGCCCCAGAGCCCGGCCAGGTGGGGCGGACGGCGTGCGGAGGGAGGGACGTGCTGCTCGCCGTTGGTTCGTCACGTGAGGAGCGTGCGGTGCCGCGTCTGCTGGATGTCGGCCTGTTGTGAAGGCGGCTGGGTTTTGCCTGTGCGAGGTTACGTGTCCCTCGCAGCGCACCCTCGTCGCCGTCCTCTGGCGTTGCTGTTCGTCGTGCAGTGAAAAGAGGGCGATGGATGTGAATTGCGGAGTGTAAAGGTAATGCTGTATGAACCTTCGATGTGCGGTCTTTCACTTTTAAACTCTTGAGTTTGGGCTCACCTGCGCAGCAAAGTACGGACTGGCACAGCTGGAAAGGGCCTCAAGCGGAGGTAGCTGTGTCCTTGCGTGCCCCTGTTCTTCACTGACATATCCTCGACCTCAGGCCGAGGACAAGAAGGACGACAAAAAAGACGACAAGAAGGCGGCGGCCAAGGAGGACAAGGCGGCGAAGAAGGAGGAGCCGCGGCCAGTGGACCACTCGGCGCAGCAGAGCGTGGCCGTGCTGGGTCTGGCGCTCATCTCCATGGGCGAGGACATCGGCTCAGACATGATGCTGCGCATGTTTGGACACCTGGTCAGTCGCCGCCACACTTCCACCCAGCCTGCTCTGAGCATTCTGGCTGTCCTCTTTAAGAGTCTCCTGCCTGCTCGGAGCTACGATACAGCTAGTTTGTGTTGTGTTGTGCTGAGAGAACATGCTAAGGTCACATTAAGATGGGTGAAGTGTTCGCGTTAGGGGCCGGTGTTCCATTTACAGGTAGCTTGTGGTGTCATATAAAACCGCGCTGAACCGAACGGTATAATTCTTGGTTGTAGAAGGAAATAGAATGAGAAGTCTGAACTGGGAAAGTTTTAGTCATGGTTTGAATGGTAGAGTTGTTTGGATTCGTTGTCTTTCATTTGCCACGTGTCCGTACGTGACGTATGTGTGACGTCCGCTTGACCCGTAGGTGGACCTGTCCCACGTCTGTTTGTCCTGTCCCATATCTGTCTGTTCCGTCTCATGTCTCGGATCTGTCTTATGTCTGTATCTCCTGCCCCATGTCTCCGACCTGTCTTATGTCCGTCTCTCCTGTCCCACGTCTGTCTGCCAGACCTGTGTCATGTTCACGTGACCGACGCCCGCGCCTGCCTCTCGGCCCACTGCCCGCCTTATGTCAGCGGCTGCCGCGTGCTGGCGCGTCTCGCGCCGCCGTTTGACCCCCGCCCGTCTCCGCGCCGCCAGCTGCGCTACTGCGAGCCCTGCATCCGGCGAGCGGTGCCGCTGGCGCTCGGTCTCATCTCCGTCTCCAATCCCAAGCTCAGCATCCTCGACACGCTCAGCAAGTTTTCGCACGACGCCGACCAGGAGGTGGCGCACAACGCCATCTTCGCCATGGGCCTGGTCGGGGCCGGCACCAACAACGCCAGGTGAGCGCGGAGGGGCGCGCCGGGCCAGAGACGGGGGGCGCGGGTGCGGTCTCGACTCGCGCGGTATGTCCATGGCGCCGGCGTGGTGGGGCGACGCTCCTCTGGCGGCGGCCGACCTCGGCCTCGCGCTGAATGGCAGACGCGCCATAGAATTCAATTTGGCCGCCGCGTGCCGTCTTGTTTGATGCTGCGCAATTCCGGATCCCGCACAGAGCCGGCGGCTGGGCCCGGCATTTAATTAGCGGGGTCAGCCGCCGGAGGTCTGCCGGCGTGACGTCATGGGGCGCTGACGAGACGCTCCCGAACGGCATGACCTTGCGTCGCCAGCCAGCTAATGTCCTAGCGCAGCACGGCCGACCAGGCTAAGACAGCGCCGACGTTCCTCGTAGCCGTGCGGGAAATGGAAGCGCAGTATGCAGATGATGCGTTAATGACACATGGCTAATGACAGAATGACAGACAGCTGCAGCCGGCGCGCCGTTTTTGGCCCGTTGCTGCGCGAAGCCCCTTTTGTAATGTCTCCTACCCCCTGGGTTGCGCTATCTAAGATGTAGCCGTTGTCGGATACTTTTGAGCCATCGAGCGTTCGGATGCTCGTGCCGCCTGGCAGGCTGCTCTTCTCGCCTTGGCCGTTTCGCCTAACACTGTGCCCTGTCGGCGCCGTCTATAGTTGCCTCTGTTTCTGTGTGCGCCTTCTTAACGGACCTCCGCCGGCCTCGTGCCGCCACCACAGACGGCACGTCTCTCGCTGCCCTGTTCCACGTTTACCCGAGTGACCTTTGGCTTCGTGTCTTCCGTCGCGTGCCACGCCGCCACCGGAGCCGTGCCTGGTGTGGCGGACTCCGGTCGCCGGCCGGCGCCGCTGCCTCGCCCGCCCGGTGGCCGGCCGCCTCTGTTTCGCCCCGCGTCAGCCTCACGCCGCGCGCTCGGCGCCCTCTGCCGGCAGGCTGGCGGCCAACCTGCGGCAGCTGGCGCAGTACCACGCGCGAGACCCCAACAACCTGTTCATGGTGCGGATCGCGCAGGGCCTGACGCACATGGGCAAGGGCACGCTGACGCTGAACCCGTGGCACAGCGACCGGGCACTCATGTCGCCGGTGGCCGTCGCCGGCCTCATGGCCACGCTCACCGCCTTCCTGGACGTCAAGTCGCGTGAGTGGCCGCCGCCGTCGACCGCCGGCTCGAGTGGCTCCGGCTTCTGCTGTGTTCTCTGGGGTGCTGCTGTGTTTGTCGCCGCGGTTTTCTCGCTGCGCTCTGTGGATATGTGTTGCCATCTACCCATTTCACCCCCTGTCCCATCTGTCTCTCCTCCTTTTCTCTGATTCTTTCTCTGCCTCTCGGACATATTCGGGTTGTCCCACTTTGCCGGCTTCGCCCCCCCCCCCCCCCTCCCCCCGGAGCCGGCTTCGCCTCCCCCCTGAAGTCGTGCTCTGGGCCTGCGTCTCACTGCTGTTTGGCTCTGTTCCGGTGACCCCGGGCCCTCCAGGCCCAGGTGGGCTGACGAGAACGCCAGCGTCAGGACGGTCCGCGTGATCCTCAGCACGACTCCCCGGCGCCCCCCCCCCCCCCCCTGCCGCCCGCCTGCTTAAGTGGGCCACCCTCACCGCCCTCCTGGACGTCAAGTCGTTTGCGTGGCTGACGCAGAGCGGCCGTCCAGGCACCGCATCCTATGTTTCAGTGTGCGCTTTTGTCGCCCCCCCCCCCTCGCTCCTCTATAGCCTGTGGGTATATCATTTACTCACTTTATTGCCCGTCCTCCTCCCCCCGTTCCCCATCCCCTCCTTCATTTCCTTTCACATATCCGGACCGCCCTGCTTCGTCGCCCTTCCCCGTACTGCCACTGAAGGGGTACTGAGTCCTCGTCTTACTATGATCTGGTTCAGACTTGTCCCGGTGACCCCGGGGCTCGGTGAGTCGTGGTGGAGTGACGGGAGCACCTTCGCCACGGTCGTCCGCCATATTCACGACAATGCTTCCCCGCCTGCCACCCGTCGATATATGTATATATGTTTATGTATATATATATATATATATATATATATATATATATATATATATATATATATATGTATATATTATTGTCCCTGAGGCCTGACCCCGGTGAGCCCGGCCTGAAATGTAGCGATGTTTGAGGGTCTGTCAGCACGTGTAAAGTACTCGGCCATGGCAGCGGCGCCCGCCCGATGTGTTTTCAGTCGCGTCTACACGTCTTCCAGCTAACTTGTAGCGTACCCGGTGACGCTGTGTAAAAGTCATTACGGGGGTCTGCCGTGTTTTCATGTTTTTCCCCGTTAACACGCGAACTGAGCGGAAAACTTCAGTGTTTATCAGAGCAAACTGTCAACTTGGTCAGCGGGTAATCCGGATGAACTCTGCCCCGCCCACGTGTTTTCTTAGCATCACAACAGAAAGTTGCTAGCACGTGACTGGGCGTATGCATTAACAGGGAAAATTGACCAAGAAATAGAAGTAGTCCCAAAGCTAATCAAATTGGCTGGGTTGCCCGCAAAGTTGCATTGTTTAAAATGGTTAGGCTATGCCAATCTCTTACGGGTATTACATATTTTACCGTGCATATTGAAATTATTAATAGAAAACGACTACCTTTGGCTGTTGCCTTTTTGTCAGCGGTTGCCACCTAGCCCAGCTTGCCTTCTGCGTCTTGTCCCTGCCATAAGTCGACAAATCGCCTCCGACGATAAACACGAAATTCAGCATGCACAAATCGGCGTCATCAGTCAGCGTCATCAAATTACACTGAGCCCGGATTCTTCCTCTGTGTGTGTGATGCTGCGTTGAACCTGTGGCATGACCTGATAACCCGTCAATAGAGATCATCGCATGCGTGGCATGCATACTTGGACGTCGCGCTGAAGAATGCGCCATCGATCTGTCCAGTCTGTTGCAAATTTAATTTGCCGTTTACTTCGGTTCAGTCTGACCTTTTTGAATCTCATCCCAAATCTCAGTGATGATATCAAAATGACGCAGCAGTGCATATTTATGCATTGCTAATTAGGTCTCCACGAAGCACGTTTTCAACGTGAAAAAATTATTTCAACACAAAAATATGTTCAAGGGATATGTTGGCAACATGATTTAAATAGCAAAGCGTGTTTCATACGCGGCCAGCGCCATCTGATGGCCGGCGTAAACGTGTCAATAGCGATGCTATTGAACGCATTCGATCGCAATTGCCGACCAATCAGACTTTCAATTGATGACCTCGTTTTACCCACAATCACTTGATCTATGACCATCGTTACCCGACACTCGAGTGATCACCACCTAGGCATTAATCGCTGCAAAGTTCGCGGCTCTGGGTCACTGGGAGCTATGGTAGCGGGAAGTGCACCCTCCGTTTCAGAATTGTTCGCGCTATCAGGCGCAAACAATTCTGAAAGGTGTCCGGGCTCATATTAAGCCCTGCACGCCAGCTTTGTGCTATGTGGTCAGCCCGATGTTGCAGTAAACGAAGCCTGCTATTGTCTGCCGTGGTTGCCCCAATGGGGCTGACAGTCCAT